GACCCTCTTGGGTCAGTGGTTCTGCAGTTGTTAGTTTAAAGACTACTGAATTTTTACTCTCTTCTAAAATAGATTAAGCACATAACTGTTTTAACAGTTGTATTGATATATTACTCACATTACAAACAACTCAAAAGTCCAATCACATTAAAATGAGTTGCGCAATCATGAGCACAGTCCATTTTAAAACGTTTTCTTCTTTCTTGTCCTCACTGTTATTAGCTCTCCATTGCCCCCAAACCTCTCTACCGCACCCCCGGAAACCAACCATTGATCCAGTTACTGTCTATATAGATCCAACTGACCTAAATTTCATAGACAGAAAAGCATCCACACACACACAGAACAGAACAATAATAGCAAAATAAAACAAATAATATCAATCAAAATGAAAGCAGAAAACATTAAAAATTAGAACAAATTTAAAATGGCTCAAAAGGGAAATCAAATGAAAAGGTGTTAAATTTTAACCTAACTACATCCGCATTAGTCTACTTCCCAAAGCCCTCTTACCTGGTAGTAATGCTAGTCACTTCCCTTGTCTATGGCCATAGGAGATTCACTCAAGGCTTAGTCCACATGGGGATCCTGCAAATGAATTTTGGGCTTTCACTGTCATTCATAGCTTTGTGCAAACCAACTGTTTAGAATTTAAGTTCCAATATCGTTCCCTTCTCTGGTCTTAGATTTTATTACTTACAATTCTTGAATCATACAGGCTTGTGTGCTATTGATAGTATCATTAATTTTGCCAAAACTATAGAATTTAAAAGACTGTGGAGGAAAAAATACATACATGTATAAAACAACTTTTACACTAAAATATCTGTATTATTGACCTGTACAGATTAAAATGTCAAGTTATTGGACACTATGTACAGAAAAATGAGGGTTGTATATAGGGCATAAACATGTAACTACTTAATTGCAATTCCATTCTTACAATCCCTAGGAGTAAAAGAAGGATAAGCAATTTGTTGTTTTATGAAAATGAAATTAAAAATGTTACTCAAATATCCAACAGTAGGATTCTGTTAGTCAAGTCAGGGAGATATGACCTGCTAACGTACAAATTGTATAAAAGTTATATTTACATGGCTCAATGCCTCCACATCCTTATTCTTTTGAATGAGCCCTCATGGCCCAGTTTAAGCACTCAGTGGCTAGCTGAGATGCCAGCTGCTCCCAGTAGAAGGGCAGGACAATCTACTTCTACTAAGATGTACAATCTGGAAAAGCCTATGGAAGAGTTTTACTCTGTCCTATAGAGCGACTAGGAGCTTCACCCAACTTTATGTCAATGAGTTTACATATTTGGTTAGTTGTTTCGTTTATAAAACTAAGACATTGGGTGGATGACCTTTATCTGATACGTTGTTATTTCTCTCTGCCATGGGCCATATGGACTCACAGCGATTCTATAGGAAAGAGGAAAACTGCCCCTCTAAGTTTCGTAGACTTTTTTTTTTAATAAATCATTTTCTTGGGGGTTCTTGCAGCTCTTACAGCAATCCATACATCCATTGTGTCAAGCACATTTGTACATATGTTGCCATCATCCTTTTCAAAACATTTTCTTTCTACTTGAGCCCTTTGTATCGGCTCCTCATTTTTTTCTCACTCCCCCACCCTCCCACCCTCATGAACCCTTGATAAAGTATAAATTATTGTTTTTATATCTTACACTGTCTGCTGCCTTCCTTCAGCCATGTTTCTTTTGTTCATAACTCTGGGTGGGGAGGAGGGTTTATATGTCAGATCCCCTTTTTCTCCCCATACCCTCATGGTATCGCTAATCCTATTATTGTTCTTGAGGGGTTTAATCTGTCCTAGATTCCATGTGTTGAGCACTCTTATCTGTACCAGTGTACATGCTCTGGTCTAGCCTGATTTGTAAGGTAGAACTGGGGTCATGATAGTTGGGATTGGGAAGCATTAAGGAACTAGAGGAATGTTATGTGTTTCAATGGTGCTATACTGCACCCTGGTTGACTCATCTCTTCCTTGTTACCATTCTGTAAGGGCATATCTAATTGTCTACAGATGGGCTTTGAGTCTCAACTCCTCCCCGCAACCCTTCATTCCCATTGATATGATTGTTTGGGGTCTTCTGATGCCTGATATCTGATCCTGTAGACACCCCATGATCACACAGACTGATGTGCTTCTTCCATGTGGGCTTTGTTGCTTCCCAGCTAGATAGCCAAATGTTTGTCTTCAAGCCTTTAAGACCCGAGATGCTATATCTTTTAATAACCAGGCACCATCAGCTTTCTTCAACCCATTTGCCTATGCACCCATTTTGCTTTCAGTGATCGTGTCTGGAAGGTGAGCATCACAGAATGCCAGATTATTAAAACAAAGTGTTCTTGCATTGAACAAGCACTTGAGCAGAGGCCCAATGTCTACCTTAATACTTAACATATAAATATATTTATATACGCCTATATCCATATCATTATATATAAACTATTTACATATATATGTACCTGCGTTTATACCTTTATATATGTCCTTTGCCTCTGAGTTCCTTCCTCCTGTCCCATTATCATGTTTGAGCTTCATTTGACTCTCAGTAATTCCTCTCAGCTACATTGCACATGATCAAGCCCCACCAGGCATGCCGCGCCCTCCTCGCCATTGATTTTAGGTCATTTGTTGTTCCCTTGTCCCTGGGTTTGTTGGCTCCCCTCTTCCTTTCCCCCACCTCCTCCTCCCATGTCCTCTTGGAACCATTAGTCCTACTATTTTCTTCTCAGGATTGTTTGTCCTGCCTATCTTATAGACATGGGGAAAAAAGGCTATAAATAGTTCCAGGTCTATCTGTTGACCCTTACGAATGTTTTCCAATCAAATTGGATGAGGTGCCAAGTCCTGCCCCCAGAAGTCTATTTTTAGGATTCCTGGGGGACTTCATGTTTTGCTCCCCTTGCTGTTTTGTTGTGCTTCATTGTGTTTCACCCCAGTATGTGTGTGTGTGTGG